CAGAAAGGTGATGTAGATCCTACGATGTGGCTATTAGTGGATATAAGGAGGGCAGACAGAGAAAGTGAAAGAGGGTGAATAGGGTCAAAATATCTTATGTGCATTTGTGAAAATGGAACAATGAAGCTTGGATAGATAGGCTTGGGAAGGGAAGGAAGGATGAAGACGACTGATTTGAGTGGGTGAGTCTGATCACGGTATATTGTGTATACAGATCCGCTGTCAAAATCCAAGGCCCTTATATGGAGAATTGATGCTAATAAAAATGTGAGGAAAAAAGGTTGGGTGTATATGTTTCAGCGGTAGAAGAACTTTTGCCTGGCATGTGAGAAATCCTAAGTCTGACCCTCAAAACTGCAAAACAAACAAATAAGGAAAACAAGAGGGGCTGGGAAGGTGGCTCAGTGGTAGAGTGCTTGCTTTGCATGCTCGAGGCCCTGGGTTCGATTCCTCAGCACCACATAAGCAAAAAGAAAAAAGCCGGAAGTGGCGCTGTGGCTCAAGTGGTAGAGCGCTAGCCTTGAGCTGAAGAGCTGAGGGACAGCGCCCAGGCCCAGAGTTCAGGCCCCATGACTGGACCCCCCCCCCCCACAAAAAAAAAAAAAAGAAAAGAAAAAAGAAAAACAAGAAAAAGTAGAGAAGGTGTGGTGGTCCATGCCTGCATGCCCAGTTAATTAGGAGGTGGAGGCCAGAGGATCACAGTCCAAAGTGGTCTCTTGCAAAAGCTCACACTCTATCTGAAAAAACAAAAACCAAAAAGGCTGCTGAGGTAGCTCAAGTGATAAAGCAATTGTGTAGTATCAGACCTCAAGTTCAAGCCTCAATACCACTAGTAAATAAGTAGATAAGAAAAAGTTATTAAGAAAGAAGATACACAGTCAGTGAGATATGAATAATCACTAAAATGAACACTGCATTGTTAACAAAGAGTTCAATATTATTATAAGGGACTAAGGAAAGAACAATGATAATATACATGTAATTTTTTAATACTCAATATACAATCAACATGTTCTGATCAACAATAGAAACCATATAAAAGAGAATCTTGCTTTCCATTTGTACAAATACTGTTTTTATCATTGCAAAACGTTACAGGTTAAAACGTACCACATATAGAAGCTATAAAGCTATTGTTTGAAGTTACTAACATAAAGTTATTACTATCTGATGTTAATCAGTTACATCATTGCTCTTTAATACCAGTCATTAGATGCAAGGGACGTGCTAATTTCCAAGCAATTACACCATACTGCAAGATTATACTGTAGCCAAATTAGGTCAGTAGGTTTTTTAAAAAAAATAAGGGAAAAAAAACCCATCTTAAATGTATCTACTTGTTTTCTCCTCAGGTGGTAGGGATTGAAGTTCTACTAGTATTTCTGCTGATAATAAGCCAAGAAGACTTAGACCACATAGGACATACTATGGTTTTACAGATGTACATGGAAGAAGAAACCCCCTACAATTGTTTCAGTTTTCATCCCAAGTATACTTTATGAAAGACGCATAAAAATGTTTCTTAATGTAAGAATCTTCATAGATTCTTGTTTCCATAAAAGTCCATCCAATTTTCTTGAAGTCTGCCCTTTGTAAATAACTGATAGGTCAGTTTTTCCCTCTGGGTTAAAGAACATCAACATGGGTCAGTATGTCCGTAGCAGGAATATTCAATCCCTTCATTTTACCAATTCATTTTTAGAGCTTAGGAAATGCAAGAGGTATGCTTTATACTTCCTTTGCAGTTTGGAGTTTTCACATCTGTAGAATTGACTGCAAGTTCAATCTGGGGGTTTTCAACCTTCACTGAATATTGGAAGGAACTTAGTTAGGATCATTAAAAAGTACAAATGTCAAGACTTCATTTCTACAAAGGAATACACAGTTTCTGGCATAACTGTGATTCAAGAGTTTCTAAAGCCACTCTAGGCAATTTTATGATGCAGTCAGGATTGAAATAACTCTTCTTTAGCCTAATTATACTCATACTTGGTAAGACTGATGGAGGATTTCACAAACATAGTGAATAACTCAAATATGGTAAACATTATTATGGCTTTCCAGAAACTTCTAGTCTCTATTGGTAAATTGATATTAATTGTAAATATATGTATAAAAATAATTTGTATTAATGTCAGATTAGTATATATAAACCGACAATGTACTATATTATTGCTTTTCTTACATTTAAAGGGTCATGTTGGCAAGTGATCAGAGTTTGGCATGCCTTTGGATTCTTCTAGAAGTGAGTTCTGCAGTGATCTGTTTCCATTGACATTGTCCCAAACAGACTCAGTAGAGCCTGACTCATACTGGTATTAAACTAATGTGCTCCTGTCTACTTTCTATCAATAGCAAAATGGTGATTCTGCTATTTTCTGTGGCAGTGACCTAGCTTAGCTTTCTAAGAAAGCTGTACCTTCCATAAGGGAGAAGGCAATTCCCTTGCTTCAATTTAATTCTTAGAAACAAAGATGTCAATTTCCAAGTTTGATTCTATTGCAGTCTTTCTAAATGGTTTCTTTTAGTAGAAAAATGAATTTCCTAAAAATATACTTTACAAAGTTCAGTGCTACATAAAGAGGACATATATCCTGCAAGAAAAAAAGTTACAAAAATAGATTTACATTGAAAAAAAATCCTCTCTGAATGTGTCTTTAATAGTACAAAGATGTTTGTCTCTAATATGGCAGGTGTGGTTGGGAAAAGAGGCAGGGATTTCAGTTCAGTTAAGGTTTTACAGCACCCCTCCCCCCAGGCAAGGAAATACAACAGATCATTATGTTACAATAAAAATGTGTGCTTATCAAAAGAAATACAAGGTAGAGATTACTGGCAATTTCAACAGCTGCGTCTTAAGAGGGAATAGCTCATTCCAAGGGGGAAAATGGGAGAGGAAGAGATTGTTTTCCAACTTCTTAGAAAATGCAGAGTGTACCAGGATTTTTACTAAGACTTAGGTCTGTTATTTGCCATCTTCAGGATAAATTGGTGTTTTTGAGAATTCAGGAAAACTCCTAGTAGCCAAGTCTCAGGTGTACCAGCCACTGAAAATTGTTCTTTTCATGGCATATAGGAATCTCTACCCAGGACATTGTACAGGCTTTGAAATTGGACTAGTCAGGGCTATAATATGGACATTTTGGACCCTGTGCTGCTCCTCTCTTGTCCTACCCACTTTAGCCACTGTGGTCCCTAAAGAGGGACTGAGGCCTTGCAGCTCCCACAGACCCCCTTCTCCCTGCACAGATAGGAGAACATTTTGGGAAACTCAATGTTAAGATTCATAACAACTAAATTTTGTGCAGGAGAATGGGAATACACAAGAAAAGAAAAGCAAGCTTGAATAAAATTTGCCGTTTTATAATGCTAGGTAGGAGACAGCCCTTCAAAGTACAAAAATACTAGAATTTTGTTGCTATAATTTGACTTATATCTACTCTCCCTAGAATGTTACTCATTCCGTTTACTAGTTTTGAAGACACATATGGCTACAATTTTTCTTTTACGTTCTAAGGGGAATAGATAATGGAAATGGTTTGCTGACAAGGCCAGGAAACCTCAGATTCTAAAAATACTGTTTAATCTTCTCACTAATCATTTTTTTAAAAATAGATGAGAGGCCAAAATTCCCAGGAGGGAGGTAACATTTAGGGAGTTGGAGGATGCTACAAGCCTAGTTCCCAGGCCAAAAGGAACAATGTTAGAATGACTGATATGGATTTCTCCGGCAGTTCTTTCCTCATCATGGCTTCTTTGGCTAGGAACATACTTTCCATTTCTCTGTTGCTAAGTCCTTGCTACTTTAAAGGTCTAATGGCAACGTTACCTCCTTGGAGATCTCCCTTGTCTACCCAGGGAGAATCTCAGAATCAGGGATTTATTCCTTGATACACTGGAAAGAATGTATATAGACTAAGAATATTTAACCAATGGATTACAAGGATGAGATCCTCCGGTGAGAGAGAAGTTGCGTTATGATAAACCTGAAATATCTGTAGAGGTTATGAAAACATTATTTATCAACCTCAAATTCTACTTGCTTTTTTGCCACTTGAGTTCCTTTCTGTACTTAATGGTATCTTATCTTGGCACCCAGAGAAAAGCCCTACTATGAGCTGTAAATTATTGCATGCTCTCACCGAGAGGTTTTGGGGTAGCTTACCAGGGAGAAACACATGCCCTTACAAGTCAAAATCTCCTAAAGGGACATGAAGGGAAGATTAATTCCATGAGTGGTCCAAACTAATTTTGGAGTATAGATGGGCAAAATAAGAATTAAGAACAGTCTCATTCTGTGGGTCTCATGATATATGCCCCTAAAGGACTTGACACGGTTTAGCCAAGGCTAAAATTTGGAACCAGGTTCTTCTACAAATGTCTTAATTAAGGGCAACTGGTCTGAACACTGAAGGGCTAAAACATAGCCTGTTAGTTATTCTTGATCTACTATCTTCTTCATGACCTCAACACAGGGAAAACATATTAAGCTTCAAGACAATGGAATGGAAAAGAAACAAGTAAGTCTAACAGTAATTATTAGAAAGCACTGGTGAAATAATAGGAAATAAGTACCATGGACACATTTATACAAAAAACAGTCTGAGAGAGAATTCTTTCATTTCTTCTTTGCCCAGGAAGGGACAAAGTGGCTTATCCTATATATAGTACCTGCCATGATTTAACATAGTACCAATGAGGCCTGCTTAGAAATACAGGACTTCTTGTACATTTTGCTTGTCTTTCAATGGAAGAATCTTGAAGCAGTGCTGGTGGATTCAAGTGCTGGCTGGAAGAGTTGGAGTCCATGTTCCTTGGTTATAACTGGGCCTGGAATAATTTGGTGTAGCAAGTATTTCAGGCAAGCTTCTTCTGCCTTGGAAGAACCCAGTAAACCAATGTCCACAATGGCAATTAAACATCCCAACTATTTCCAAGCAGTACATATATATCTATATATGCATATATGTATATATATATGTATATATATATATATATAGTCTCACCATAACCTCTGCTCAAATGGACATCTTTCCAGATGCTTTCTTTTGTGGGAGCTTCACAGTTTGAAGACCAAGGAATGTACCTGCAATGTCCCAGAGGGAAGGAGTACTTCTGGGCTAAAAGAAAGGCTGATCAAAGTTAATATGGTAAAACCAGTTCATGGGTATGAGTTAACACAGGCATGTCTTTTAAGAGTAGAATAGCTGCCATGACTTGGCCCTGGGTCTCTGAAGAGTCTGGAAGTTTTATGGCTGATGCTACTACCCTCCATGGTCATGCTCCAATAAACTCACTGCTGGGTGGTGCTACCCGTAGGTACTCTGCATTTTCAGCTGTAGGGCCCTTAAAGATGCCATTTAGCTTGGAGTCCTTAGGAAAGAAGTCCTGCTGGTAGTCAGGGTTGTCCAGGCTAATTTGGTGGTTGCCCTTCTGGGCCCAGTGGGCAGGGTTGTCAAACATGCTGTTGCCACAGGTAGGCTGAGCCGTGTTGAGATACTCAGGGTTGCCCACAGCATTGCTATGGGGATTTTGGTAGTGTGGGTCCCTGCTGGTAGCTGGATGCAGGGGTTGGTTGTGATAGACAGGGTTCTGTACTGAGCCTGCTGGTCTTCTGGGAACGAATTGGTTTATGTATTCTGAAATTGAAAAGCAAGAACAGGTGAAGTAATAAGGAAAGCATTACCCAGCAATCCCACGGCAGGATTCCATGGCTCCTGCCAACCCTGTGAATACCTTCATTGAGGCAACTCAGGACAAAGGCAAAGAAGCCCAAGGAATTACCGAAAAATAAATCCCCTCCCTCCCTTCTCCCCTCCCATCTCCCTTCCTCCTCCCCTCTTTTCTCCCCTTCCTCCTCCCTTTTCCTCCTCTCCTTCTCCCTTCCTTTCTTCCCTTCTCTCCTTCCTTTTCTCTTCCTTTCTTTTTATTTTGTCAGTACTGGGGTTTATACTTAGGGCTTTGCCTTTGCTGGACAAGTGCTTTACAACTTGAGCCATACCCCAGCCCTTTTTTTTTTTTTTTTTTTTTTTTACCATACTTTGTTTTTCATGTAAGATGTTACGCTTTTGCCCTAGCTAATCTCAGATAGAGATCCTCTAACCTCTACCTCCCAAGAAGTTGGGATTATAGGTGTATATCACTACACCCAAATTGTTATTTATAGGATGTTTTTCCTGATCCTCCTATCTCTGCCTTCTAAGTAGATGTGATTATAGGAATATATCACTACACTCAGCCCAGTTATTTTTTGTACTTCTTGAACATTCATACATTCCACTTTTTGTAAATTAAAAGGTTATATTTAAGTGTGTATGTGTCACACGTATATATGCATGCATATATAACTCCAGAAAACTTATAGATCCATTTCTTAAGCAAACCCAGTTGTAATTTGAACTGAACACAAAAACCATGTATATATTTAGCCATTCTGTACTCACTCATTACTTACTCATGTCTAGAAGTTTGCTATAGTCTCTACCTCTAGACCAGCTGGCAGGAAACAACTAGCTTGGGCCCCAGGGAAAGAAGATCAGAACCTGCTGGATGGGGCAGGGAAGCTTAGGTCTATGACTATGTCCTGAGAAATCTACTCACCAGGTGCAGGGAGGAAAATGTCATCTATGTTGTCTTCTGTCAAGGCACCAGTGGGGTCTGAGCTGTACCGCTGCAAGAAGCTGTCTTCCTTGACAGCACAGCTCTGCTGGGGAGGAAATTAGGGAGCATGATTCTAATCAGTGATACTCAGCCTTCACTGCAGACAACTATCACCTCTAATCTCATTAATATGCAGATTCATGCTGGGTGAGGCCATATCCTCCTGTAATTCAGCAGTGAATGGCTAAGTCAAGTGGGATCAGGCTAGTCTGGACTATACTATGAAACTATTTCCACAAACAAAACACAGATTCAGTGATTTCTGGGCCTGGGAATGTAGATTTCTGACAAGCCCCCAGGTAACATCCAAGCCACTGGGCTACCGTTATCAGAGCAAACAATGCTCTGGTCAGTAGTGGATGGTCCTGCAGAGATGAAATGTTTTGTCACCTGATTTCTTCAATACAGTAGCCACATGCCACATGTGGTTACCAAACATCTCACATTGTGTGAGGAACTGAATTTTGTATTTTATTGTTTGTATTTTAGTTTCCTTATTTAAAATTGATATAGCCACATGTGTTATTATTTGGAATAATATTGTGTTATGATATAATGAGTGGCTGGCCTTAAGATATAGGTCAAGGAAGTTACGTTGGGGGAAAGAATATGTAGGAAGAAAAGTCAATCCTCTTGGGGTTAAAATAGGTATTTTCCATAAATTATAAAGACATGATACTGAGCTGTTAATTTAATCTGGTTTGTTAAGTGTTCATACATACCCCATTTCTATTAATGCAAGCAACAGTGGAGTTATTGCTGGTTGCACTCTGAAAAAGAGACAGAAGCATCATGGTACACATGTACATTCTCACCCATTCACATAGAATGACAGAGGTGGCATCTCAAGGAATGGAAATATTTCAAGATGCTTCTTATTTTTTTTGTTTTGAATCATTAGAAAAAACAGGGCTGGTTAAAGCTGACCAGATTACAACCAAGTTATTGCAATAAAATATTACAACACTTAATTTTGTTGGTTCTGATTTTGACTTTACCCTTTGATTAATATTTACTTTCTATATGAGAGATATTAGATGGGTGCCATTTTCTCTACAATTCAATGTGTTCAAGTGGGCAGACACAGCTGGGCAGGGGGAGGAGGGAAGGGAGAGAGAGAGAGAGGAAAGAGGAGGAGAAGAGAGACATTTTGTACCAGAGAACTTAGAAGAGGAGTTCGAGATGTAGACGGGCTATTGAAGAAGCCCTGCTGGGGGATGAGGTACTCATCAGCATCGACAACATCTTCCATGTCCTCTTCATCCATCAAGGCACGATAAAAATTGGAGTCTGTAGGGCTTGGCAGGTGCATTCTTTCATCCCCCTGGTGCAGAGATTTTGAGACCATTAGAAAAGGCCATGGGTATCCTGTCCTATTCCTAACTACTGGGGTACAGGATCGATTGTAAGAAGGTGCCTATATATTTACCTTCAGTTACTATGGGGTAGAGGTTGACTTTAGCTGCTATTGGAGTATGTCACCTGAATATTGAATTAAGGATCTATTGCAAGAAGGTGCCTAGCTGGGCACCAGTGGCTCACACCTGTAAACCTAGCTACTCAGAAGGCTGTGATCTGAGGATTGTGGTTCAAAGCCAGCCTGGGCAGAAAAGTCTATGAAGTTCTTGTGTCCAACTAACCACTAGAAAACCAGAAGTGGTGCTGTGGCTCAAAGTGGTGGAGCACTAGCCTTGAGCAAAAAGAACTCAGGGACAGCACTCAGGGCCCTGGTTTAAGGCCCTTGACCAACAAAAAGAAAAGAAAACAAAAGAAAAAAAATCTTAGTGATAATGCCCAGGCTCTGCGTTCAAGTCCTAGGACAGCACTCCCCTCTCCCTGCAAAAAAAAAAATAGAAGGTATCTATGTGTTTGCTTTTATGTTTGAGGTTGCATATAATTCAAACCCTGTAGTTCTCTGAAGTGTAGCTACTTCTCCCAGTACCTATGGGTACCTTGGAATAAAACATGAAAAGTTCTTTGGATTGTCTGAAAGCCCCCAAAGAAAATGTAAACATCTCAGGGAAGAGTGAGAAAAGGAAGAAGTAAAAGCATTTGCTGTGTATGCAAGTGCTAGGCAAAGCTCCTCATAGATTATTTTCCTGCAACCTGCTTTTTCCAGTTCCAAGTTAGGTAAGGAGATAGCTGGGCAGGATTGCACAAGGAGACATGGAGTAAGACACTCAAGGCTGTCCTGCTTCTCTATATGACCATGCTAGGCGCTGTTGCAGAGCGGGAGTGGGAAGTGGGAGGCTGTGTCTCAGTAGGACAGTTTAGATAGAATGGTTATAAAGAGTTGATCCATTGTAACAATGAGATGTACAAGACACTATGTTGGAAATGAACTTTAGAACTTTGGGGGTAGGGAGGGAGGAGCTGGGGAGGTGGGAAGGGCAGGGATGGTAGGGGAGAAACAAAGGAGGGGGTAACAATGCTTGATAGGAAATGTACTCCTTACCTTACTAATGTAACTGTAACCCCTCTGTACAGTATCTTTACAATAAACACACACACACACACACACACACACACACACACACACACACACACACACATATATAACAAACAAACCCCAAAGAGTTGGGTGATGTGGTGGTATCCATTATTGAATCCCACTTAATTCTTAAGCAGAGCAGTGTCTTAACTGAGGCTGCTCTAATGCACAGAATGTAGTAACATGCCCCGGAAGGAAGAAGCCATATTGGCACAGGACAGGGCCCAGTGATGCTCACTGGAGAGATTTTGCCAATGGATGTGCATACTCTAGCCTGATACCTGAATGACAAGGTAGCGCTGAGGGTCTCTGGCCATTTTGGAGAATTCGACAATCAGCTCACGGAACTTGGGGCGGCTGTCTGCATCTATCATCCAGCCTGAGAAAGGAAGTGAAGAAAAACAAAGCTATTAGGACCCTGGGAGACATGGTCAAGACAATGCTGCTTAGAGAAAGCATTTCAGATGAATGAAGAAATCTAATTTTCATGATAGAGTTTTTGGTGCTGTTCCACTAGCACTGATCACTGTTTAAGAAGACCATGATAACACAGTATTTTTGAATCAGAATGACAAATCCTCTGATTTTCCCACCTCTGCATAGGATCAGCAATCTTGAGTTACCAGCTTTAATGACATAGTCGTATAATGATGTACTTGCTTCTTTGTGTCCAGGCTCTTCACGACTCCATTCCACATTCATCCTCAGCACCCTGGTTTCTACTCAAGCTTGAAACCAGATTCAAATTCGAAAGGCATCAAGGTTATAAGGAACCTGGACTTGGAAATGTCTCCAGTCTCGTTCCTTTATGGCGCTTTATACTCAGTCATCCTTCAGACAAGTGACAGAGCTGGCTGTCTCCCTGCCTTCCTATTTATTTATTTACTTATCTCGTGCAGTGCCGGGGGTGAAACTGAAACCCAAGACCTTGCAGTGCTAGTGCCTTCCTTAGGCGGATACTTTTGGCAATCATGCTGTTGCTTTTGATTACACAGCGATCTAAATCTAGAGTCAGCAACCTGGAGGGAAGCTGTCGACTGGAAACCCTCGGGTCTCTTAAGGGTTCACATTTATTTTCCATTAGCAGGATGTCAAGCTATTTCAGGCCAGACTGCTATGTGACCTGTGACAAATCATGTGACCTCTTTGGACTCAGCTTTTTCAGTCCAAACCGAGGCAGTGAAAATAGATGAACCCTATGTTCTAAAGTTCAGAAAGGAATGGATATTTACATGAGCTTGGATCTGTCATAGTCCCTGCTGCCTTCTGGTACAAATGCTTATTACACATTATAATGTTGCCTGAAGAGCACAGTGCACTTATAATTCCAATGGAAAGAACGGTATCAGGCAAATTACACCCTCTTATTTCTAGTAGAACATTTAAAGCTACACTACAGGAAGCTTACTGTGAATCTGCTGTTTGAAAGGTTTAACCCAAAACAGAAATGTTGATTCTATCAGCCTTCTAAGGTTACTCATTGTTAGATATTTAAAAGCATTCAGTTTCTGGTATCAGGCTTCCAACTGCAAGGCCACTCTATTTCATTGAGCAACTCAAGAGAATGGAGTATGTTGGTGTAATAGTTTACAGAAGACTTCAATTTTATTTATTTGCTTGTAAACATAGGCAAATGTCAGGTCACACTGCTCAATGAGTCAAGCAAGTGCTTTCTGAATAATGCTTGCAATGGGTATTTGTGAATGTGTAAAGAATGTGATGACATTTCTTCAGAGAACAGAGGCCTTGGCTGTTTGGCTAAGAGCAACAATGCCTTTGCAGTCTCAATACAGCATTCTGTGTGTGTCAAGGTCCAGCTACATGGTGGTGAATGGCTACCCTAGTTACTCACACTTGACCATGATCATGTAGACATCAATAGTGCAGATGGGTGGCTGTGGAAGGCGCTCTCCTTTCTCCAGGATGGATGAGATTTCACTTGCAGGAATTCCATCATAAGGCTTGGATCCAAAGGTCATCAGCTCCCAAACTGTGACTCCTGAGCAGACAAAGCAGCAAACAAAGACAGTATTTAATCCTTGCTATTATTGTGGCTCAGCGTTTGAAAATCTGTTTCTATAGCTTTGGATAATTTAACTTGAATTTTCACTTTGGATTGACTTCGCCTTTCACTTGTCTTACAGAATGACGGTGAGGACTGAGTAAGTAATACAACTGAAATGTTTAGCACAATGTTTAGAAAATAGTAACTAACCCGTAAATGGTAAGCCAATGAGAGAATAATGAAAACTCGAACTGAAAAAGTTCAGGTGCATCATGGAACAGAGCTTCATACTCACACATCTGCCCTAAATACCTTGTCTGTAGCAGTGGAAAGATGCAGATTATGAACTAAGAAATAAGTTTTATTTTGAACCATGATCCTCAGATCTCAACCTCCTGAATAGTAGCATTATAGAGACATGAGCCACTGATTCCTGGCTAAACTGAATATTTTAAAATAATAAAGAGATGAATAAAGAAGCCTATGTATGTGGAGCACATGGGCAGCAAATATGGCGCTGGGAGGGGGTTGAGTGGGCAGAGCCTAATTTACTGTAGAGCACATGGCCAGCCAAGATGGCGCTGGGAGGGGTTGAGTGGGCAGACCCCAATTGATCTTCTGATCAGTGCCTAACCAGCCCGTGAAGGCTCAGGTGAATGATAGGGTGTCACCTTGACAGTGATTGGTTCCTCTTCCTCCCTTACCATGCCACCCACCCTTGTTGTCTTTAAAAGGGGCTGCTCTCTGTTAATAAACGAGTTTTTCTACCTGCTGGATTTGGCTCCCCGCTGTGTCTGATTGTCTCCTGGGCTGAGGGAGGCTAGGGAACGGGCGAGCGCCGCACTTACCTTTCCTCGGACCCCGTCCGTCTTTCGTGGGACGGACGAAGACCCAACATATGTACTTTGTGATAAACATATAGACTTCATAGATATGAGGTTTGACAGAAGTCAAACAACTATTGTGAATAGAAAAAATGAAAGTAGTGATAATTTTAGAGTGAATGTTCTCTTTCTTATGTTTTATTTTTCCAGAGAAGCCTTTCCTTCCCCGTGCCTCCTTCGATGAGATTGTCTGCTTTGCAAATGTACAAATGCTCTAGGGAGCTTGTGTCTTTCATAGCTCCTCCTGTCTTCAAATTTTTATTTTTGTTTTTTGTTGTTGGTTTTTTTTTTTTTTTTTTTGGTCAGTCGTGGGGCTTGAACTCTGGGCTTGGGCGCTGTCCTTGTGCTCTTCAACTCAAGGTGAGCGCTCTACCGCTTGAGCCACAGTGCCACTTCCTCTTCAAATTTTTAAGAGTTTGAAGTATTAAAGATTTTGTACTTTCAGGTGAGGGATGAGTAACTTACAAATTCTGCAAATATTCACTAATTTGAAAAATTGTCAAATCTAGAACACTTTGGGTCCTGAGCATTTTGAATAAAGAATACTCATATTGTACCCCGGACCTGCTTGGAGTTTCTGGAGGCCATTCCAACAATGACTTTCCTCAATCAATAATATACTAAGGATGAAAAGTGAGGAAAGTATAATGATCCAGGGATGAGAAAATTTATTCATATTTCTTCACCTACATAAGGACTTAGAGGAAGAATTTCTAATTTCCAAATGGATGAATTCTACTCCTACTAACTTTGATGACTTCCTCCTCCTCCTCCTCTTCCTCCTCTTCTCCTTCTCCTTCTCCTTCTCCTTCTCCTTCTCCTTCTCCTTCTCCTTCTCCTTCTCCTTCTTCTTCTTCTTCTTTCTTCTTTCCTCCCCCTTCCCTCTCCCTCTCCCCCCCTCCTCCTTCTTGGTTGTGGGGCTTGAATTCTGGGCCTAGGCATTGTCCCTGAGCTCTTTTACTCAAGGCTAGCACTCTACCACTTTGAGGCACAGCACCACTTCCAATTTTCTGGTGGTGAATGGGAGATAAGCGTCTCCCATTTTCCTGGTGGGGCTGGGTTTGAATTGCAATCCTCAGATCTCAGCTTCCTGAGTAGCTAGGAGTACAGGTGTGAGCCACCAGCACCCAGCTTAGACTTCTATATGTGCACACTGAGTTCTTTGGGGATGGTAGAATGGTGAGCACCTGTAATGTGTGATGGAATATGAAGGGACTAGAAATGGTATGAACTCTTTCTTCGGTATGAACTCTTTCTCTTTCCTCAAATCCTGATTGAGACATACTATGACCAAAATTTATTAAAATGAATATTTTGCCTTGTTCAGAAGCTAAAGAGTAGAGTAACCGTGTCTGTTTTAAGATGTGAAGTGTGGGTTGGTATATTCTGGCTGGTCAGAGTCTGGAGAATGAGGGCCAGGATCACGTGGTATTATTGGAAAGGTGGCAGGCCAGATGGTTAATAATCTTGTTAGCCATGGTTAGAAGGGCAGATTTTATTTGAAAACTATTAGAAAAGCAAAGAAAGGTGCAAAGCAGTGAAGTGAAAGCTCAGTACACTTTAGGAGAGGAAAAGATGGGTGAAGAATGGGAAAGGACAAGACCAATGGTATTGTCATTCTGTCCACAGGGAAAGCCAGGGGCCACACTTTCATGACTACTTGCAGTACCCAGGAGCCCCAGCTCTTGGAGAACTGACACATGTTGAAAATGACTGGAAGTAATATGGAAGAATATGTTTATTTCACTCTGTGTCATCAATTGAGGATGCTCAGCTTTTAGGTATACATCCATCCGAAAAAAATAAAGACCCATGAAATGCATATAATATGTATATTCTTGAGACAAATGGATGATCTGAATAATTTTTCTTTTTGTCAATTTTGCTCTCCTCAAATTCAAATTTCCCAGGGAGGTTAGGTGCCCTTCTTCCACTTTCTATCACTCCTATTGTAGGAGATGGCTGAGGATAATCGTAAATATTTTCCAACTTTTCTGGTTGAAACTTGAGGATGAAGTATGGCCATATAGGCTGACTGCCCAGCACAGCAGAAAAGGACATGTAACAGTGAACATTTCTTAACAGGGAAAGAACATGGACATGAGATGCAGGTTTAGGAATAGGGGACATGTTGTGAGGATGAGACTACCCTGGGTCTGGTTGCATTGAGATTCAGAGGGGAAAACAGAGTCATCTCCTGATATGATGGTCCTTTTTAGAGCAAGAAGCAGTAAATATTATTATTATTATTATTTTGGTTGTGGGGCTTGAACTCAGGGTCTGGGCTCTATCCCTGAGCATTTTTACTCAAGGCTAGCACTCTACCATATTGAGCCACAGCACCACTTCTGGTTTTCTAGTGATTAATTGGAGAATAAGAGTCTCACAGACTTCCCTGCTTGGGTTGGCTTTGAACTGCAATCCTTAGATCTCAGCCTCCTGAGCAGCTAGGATTATAGGGTGAGCCACCGGCACCCTGCTATTTACCTTATTATATTTTCTTCCTGCAGCCATCCTCACAGTCACTCTGAGTCTAACCACTTCTCTAATATACAGAGGCCACCATGCATTACAGGAAATATTAGCCATGGAGTCAGTTCACCAGAAAACCTACTGGGAAATTGTTCTACGAAGCCATCTTTGTTATCTCTCTTGTGTTCACTTCAAAGTCATAGCAAGAATTCATGCTTGGTTTGATTTCACAGGCAGAGACATATCCCAAATTCCAGTTCAACCTTCTTCCCATAACCTCTTTCTGCCACACCAAGTTGAAAAATTTCTTTAGTAATATTTAGTATGGTAGTCAGGCTCAATTTCTTATACTGGATTTTCTCAATATAGTAGACAGGCAGCAAATATTACATTATTGTTAGCCATTGTCTTGAAAGAAAAGACTTGCTTGTCAGAGCATGTAATGTAAATTAACCAATAATAAATGCTTGCTTAGCTTCAGTACAAATTCATTAACATCAAGATTTAAACTCACCGTAGCTCCAGACATCACTTTGGTGGGTATAAATCCGGTGTAAAATTGATTCCAAAGCCATCCACTTGATAGGTACCTTGGGATAGGGAGAGAAAAAGCAATGACAACTATTTAGCTTCCCCCTGTTCAAAATAATTAAATCCCTCTAAGGACAATTACAAATGACTGTGATCCTTCCTGCCCTGGCTTCAGGCTGAGGGGTCGTTCCTACTTGCAAGGGATTAGAAATCTACCAGAGAACAGGCTTGTACTGGGAGGCCCCAGAATCTGCTTTATGAACACCTGAACTGGGCCTTTTGGACCAGGTAGTTGTCTGGTAAGCTGAAAGCCCTTTCTGCTCAGTGGCTTCAGCATCCCAGTATTTGAGTGTGTTTTCAGGGATTAAAGTCATAGGGTTGATGGCTGCTTGGAACTAAACAGGCCAGTGTGAAACTGAGGTGCAGCAGAAAGAATACTGAAAGCCTAACCGGGCCATGCACCTGTCACTGCAGTATAAGTGTGCTGGGAAACTCTAAGCCAGAGATCGAGAAGTTCCCCTCACTGCCAGAGGAGACACAGAAACCCCAGAGAATTACCATAACATCATAGGGAGCCTTTAGTATATCTGAGCACTGTGTTATCAAATCAACCATGAGATTCTCCAGCTGTTTTTCTGAAGGGTGCTTAAATCCCAGAGGGGAAGGTTGAGACCTAACTTCTGCTAGCTACTACCTGGAGATGAAATTGACAATATTTGGTTTTTGAATGTATTTCCCAGCAGAGAAATAGCTCATGCCTGTAATTCTGGTTACTCAGGAAGCTGAGAGCTGAGGCTCAAGGTTTGAAGCCAGCCTAACCAGAAAAGTCTACGTGATTCTTATTTGCAATTAACCAACCAAAAGCTGGAAATGGAAGCCATGGCTCAAGTGGTAGAGTACCAGCCTTGAGTGAAAAAGCTAAGGGGAAGTGCTCAGGCCTTGAGATCAAGCACAAAACAAAAACAAACAAACAAAAAGGCATCTCTATACTCACACACATAGCAAATCCCAGTCCCAAAGCTGAAGATTACTCTGGTTAGACCCTGGCAGTGGCGGCAGCTGCTGTAACTATACCCTGAATGTTTGGTAAATGCCTCCTGTATCAGTTAGGAACTACAGCAAAGAAGTACAGAATCTGGTCTCTTGTCAGGAGAACGGTTGGTCCCTGAACTGTAGTCAGTGCCTTACTTTGCCTCCTTCTGCATGGTATTCTTTCTCATCAGCACCAAGCAGTTTGGCCAGCCCAAAATCTGTGATCTTGACATGCTGTGGTGTCTTCACCAGGACATTCCTGGCTGCCAGGTCACGATGTACCAAGCGCCGGTCTTCTAGATAGTTCATACCCTGAAACAGATAGGACCCCAAAGTGAGAAAGTGAATTGCTTGGGAGACTCCCATTGTCATGAGAAGATGGATGGTACTCATGAACTTGAACTTGATGTCTGGTCCATACAAGGCTCTCCTGTTGCACTTATTGATGTCAAGGACCATGCTGAGGCTATCCTTGTATTTCACTTAATGGACACATTAACTTGTAGAGGGTAACCAATATTAAGTAGTGATTGAGCCAGAGCATTGGTGGCTCACACCTGTAATCCTAGCTCCTCAGGAGGTTGAGATCCGAGGATCACAGTTCAAGGCTATCTTGTGCAGAAAGTCCATGAGATTCTTTATTTTCAATTAGCCACACATAAGCCAGAAGTAGAGGTGTGGTTCAAGTGATAGAGTGCTAGCCTTGAGCAAAAAATCCCAATGAGAGTATAAGGCCCTGAGTTCAAGTCATCAGTGCCACACACACACACACACACACACACACACACACACACACACACACACACATCCAATGAAGGGATAAAAAGATAAGTACAGGGAGCTGTAGCTAACTGTGGATCATGGAATTCTCCTTCCAGATACTCTGCACAAGGAGAAGGGACCAGTGACAGAGCAAGAGCTCAGATACTAGGCACAGACCAGGGATTGGTGTTTGCTGGAATTTTCCAGTGTCATCTTCCAGGCTTTGCCTTTCCCATACGATATCTACATAATAATGCCAACCTCACCAGAGTCTGGCAAAGCAGTGTTTCATGGTGGATTTAAGGTACACTCTCATTATATCTTTCTAGATTATCTTAGATGAGTCACTTCCCACAAAGAACATTTTGCTTAGTTTTTCTTTCTGATGTTATATAGTTATTTATTTTTGTCAGTAATGGGGCTTGATTCAGGGCCTAGCTACTGTCCCCGAGCTTTTTTCTCTCAAGGCTAGTGTTCTACTATGTTGAGCCACAGGGCCACTTGTGGTTTTCTGGTGGTTAATTGGAGATAAGAGTCATGGACTTTCCTGCCCAGGCTGGCTTTGAACTGCAATCTTCAGATCTCATCCTCCTGAGTAGCTAGCATTAGAGATGTGAGCCATTGGCTCCTGGATGTTTGTTATTTTTATAAAAAAAACAATCAGTACCACATGCATATTGTATATGGTTTTATAAGGTGATGTCCCTACCATCTCCCTGGCTACCTCCACAACTTTATAATAATGAGAGTCTCCACTGTAACAGTGAGAAAGAAGGCATATTCTGGCATAGTATCCAAGGAACAGTGAATTCTTAAAAATATTATCCTTGCCTATAATAGTCTGGTCTCCTTGTCACAGGTTTCTCTGTCCTTGCTGGCTGACTTCTGATTCTGCTTGCTCTGTGCTGGCCAAGCTAAGCCAAGCTCCCTTGGGTTTTACCCAGTTGCATCTTGGCAGCCAGCCCTATCTTCTCCAGGGCTAGGCAGGCAGGTAGGGGAAGCTGGGCCAGGGTCACATCTGCCACAGTCTTTTGTACCTCCTTCTCCATTTTCTCCTACTTACTTACAAATGAATCTTTCTTTCTGAACAAGGAGAGTGGGATATGTTTCTGAATTCTTTTAGGGATGATGCTCATGAACACAGAAGAACTTGCCAAAGTGCACCAAATGGAAATGTGTAGGTTTAACCAATTCTGTTTTGCTTTCAGGTTTTGTAGCTATGGAGGGAATATCACTATAATGTACCCATTACTTGTAGAAAAGGACAGTTTCCCAAATATTCTGGCTAATGCTTTGATTCTTTTTGTATAGACAACAGGTAAATATTATAGGCTTATATTATTAAAGTAAAATTACAAATACACTATGAAGGTCTTATCTATGAAAGTAGAATCTCACAAAGCTGCTGTTGGAAATTAGTTTTTGAGTGTCACTGTGTGTGTGTGTGTGTGTGTGTGTGTGTGTGTGTGTGTTCACATACAAGCATGCGTGCCTGTCTTGGGGCTTGCACTCAGGGCCTGGGAGCTGTCCCTGAGCTTTTGTGCTCAAGGCTAGTGCTCTACCAATTGAGCCATAGTTCTACTTCTGTGTTTTTGATGTTTTAATTGGAGATAAGAGTCTCATGGACTGTTTCTGCACAGGTTGGTTTTGAACTATAATTTTTAGGTCTCAGTATCCTGAGTAGCTAGGATTACAAGCATGAGCCACCAGTGCCAGGCTAAGGGTCATTTTTGACAGCTATAATGTTTTCCTCTTCTTGGCAAAAACAAATTAATTGCTTTCCATGTCTAATGTCTATATAGAATACCTATTTCCTTTCCCCTTTTTATTACTTAAAAAGCTCTTAAATGTTAAAGATGCTTTTTTTTTTTTGGTCAGTCGTGAGGCTTGAATTCTGTGTCCCTCAGCTCTTCAGCTCAAGGCTAGTGCTCTACCACTTGAGCCACAGTGCCCTTCAGTTTTCTGGTGGCTTATTGGAGATGAGTCTCATGAACTTTCCTGCTCAGTCTGACTTTGAACTGCAAGCCTCAGATCTCAGCCTCCTTGAGTAGCTAGCATTACAGGCATGAGCCACCAGCACCTGGTGATCTCTGCTCAATTTTAATGCTTCTCAAGATTTTCAGTGTGCCAGGAAATAAAGATTACTTGGACTCATGTCTTTTCAAGAAGAAACTAGCGGTTTCTTTTGGTATATAGCCTTCCAAGTAAGGAATTATTATTTAGGGATGGGATGGGTGTGGAAAGAGAAGACGCTGAGAAAATGCTAACAAATACAGGGCTCATTCCCGCTGCCCCCTCACAGTCCCACTCCCTTCCCAGTCTCTCTTACAATCTGTCTTTAAAGGCTGGCTCTTTCTTAGCCCCTGTTTCCCCTTTGATTTAAGACATGGTGGCTGTATTCTGTGATTTGGTATCCCTGTCTTTTATTATAAAAGAGCAAGGCCTCTATTCATTAAAATGTGACGAACTCCTCCCTGATTGAAAAGGGTTGATTATGCTTGGCTTTTTGCCTGGGTAGACCTAACCTCTGCATTCCAGCTGTATTAGCTCATGGCTTCTCTCTTTCTATGTTTTCTTCTCCATCCCTTTCCTTCTCTCTCTTATCCTTGCTGTCTCCTTTCCTCTCTCCTCATTCATTCATTTCCTCTCCTCTCATTCATCTTTCCTCTTCAGGAGCACAAACCTACAGTAACACGTCACACATCAATCCCTTGACCAGTCAGCTATCACCTCCTTCCTTTGTTATTTTTTTCTTTGTCTCTTCATTAAGCTCACAAGTAGGACTTCATAGAACATTTCTAATTCCACTTGGTCTTCAGTACTAACTTTCATTTTTTTGGGGAGGGAGGGGTCTGGTCATAGGGCCTGAACTCTGGGCCTGGGCGCTGTCCCTTAACTCTTCAGCTCAAGGCTAGCGCTCTACCACTTGAGCCACAGCACCACTTCCGGCTTTTTTCTTTTTGCTTATGTGGTGCTGAGGAATCAAACCCCAGGGCCTCATGCATGCAAAGCAAGCGCTCTTACCACTGAGCCACCTTCCCAGCCCTTTCATTTGGTTTTTTAAATGATTAAAAAAGGATTTGGTACATGTTTTGATAATTTGTTGAAAAATAATTGAGGGAACAAATAAATGAATTATAATAATGGTGGCTGATTTTATGCACAGAGGATGTGACAGCCATTCCCAATACATCCATGCAAAGAAACACCTCTCCATCCAGGTACCTGCCAGAGTTCAGAGGCTGGAGACTGGAGGCTTCTCAGACAAGTCCTCAGATCCCAGAGGATGATAGGGACTGTACCCTTAACTCCCCTGCTTTGGCCTCTAAGTGAAACTTGACTGCTGGGCAGAAGCTGCTTGGGTTACCAAAAACAAAAACAAAAACCCTTTAGCAGCTTGGCCTAGTGCCTCAGAGTAAGCCATGTCATTGTATGAATGTAATAAATCCAACTGAGCTCTGCCTGCCCTCCCTGCAACTCAGGCTCTGGGATTTAAAGGAACAGCTCAACTTCATTACCGCTCTGAGTTTTCCTCAGAACACCAGTCTTTGGAGAACCCTGGGAAAGCCAGAGAAGAACTCCCACAGATGCTGGCACACCAAGTCATCGGCCAGAGGGTCTGAAATCAGGAACAAAGAGATTAGACCCATTTGAACTGAGATAAAATTCCATCCATGGGTCTCTGTCCCACACTCTTGAAGTAGTTTGGAAGGTTATCTCTGTTTCAGTGGAGTTATATTTTAACCAGTCTCCAGATAAGAGCTGTGATATTACTTATAAACTCTTAGAATCTAAACAGAGGCCCACAGGAAGTAATATCAGCAGTTGAACACCCCTCCTTATTCCCCCCCTCCTGTCCCTCCCCTCTGTGGGGTCCCTTGGGAAGTCATTTCCTGATTTCTTCTCACTTTAATTGAATCTACTGTGTTTATTTATTGTTTAAAAGGATGACAGGACAACTAGAATGAATGTTGAAATACTGAAGTTTTAAAGGGAAATTTGAAGAGCTACACTGGAACTTTAATATCCAAAAGGCAGGCCTAGGGATGTGCTTCACAAGGATATCAAAGCTTTTTTCTGGCCCAGTAACCTATGAAACAAGAAAGGACTGGGGGTGGGGTGAGGGGGTGTGACCTTTAAAGACTGTTTTCCCAAGGGCTGTTTGCATCCTACAAGTCTTGGGCGGAGTTCAGAAACAGAGCCTGGAACAAGACCCATTTTTCTTCTGTTTTATAAACTACCATGTGGAAAATCCCCAGTGAGCACAGAATTAGCTAGCCTGGAAATGGCAGGCAGTATGATGCGTGACCGGACGTACGAATGGGGTCCACTGGCTTACCCACCATTGAGTCCCAACCCCTGGAAGAGATAGGAAAATGTCATACTTTCTTATTCACAAACTCAGATGGTGTAGCTCTGGCATAATACTCTGCCATCAGGGAGAAATGCTGGCTGTAAGCGTTCACTTAAGCTATGGTATAGAGCAGGCCAAGAGTGAGCAGTGTTGCCTGCTGTCAAATCCTGATTCTGATGCTTCCTGTCTTGAAACT